TGTGTAAGCTGGGTTCCCAAGAAGGCCATAGGGATATTTGTTTCATGCTACCCCAGATTTGTACAGCATCAGTTGGGAAGCATTCCCTAAATAGTTAGGAAGCAAGGTCTGCCTCCCATTTAGAAAAGGCAAAATAAATGGCCTGCATCCTGATATGTTATGCCATTATGCATTAGGTATAAGCATGGTCATTTAGATGTTCTTTGCTACTCTGAATCCTAAGGATGTGATAGAATTACACAATTATGTAAGATAGGGTGGACAAAAAGATGTATGTATGGTGTCAAGAGAGCCGAAGGGTGCTGGAAGCGTGTAACTGAAACACCCAGGAGTATACAAGCTTCAGGCAAGTATGAAGCAGGGAAGAAGCACTAGCACGATCACCAGGATTCAGCATTTCTCTCTCCACACCCAGGTGTTCTTTTCCCTTGTGATTTTGTGTCAGAGGGGTTCCGACTGAATGATGACTCTCAGCACCTTTTCCTTACAATTCTTGAAAAGAAAAGATTCATATTAACTTTTCATCAGCAGCGTTTATGTTATTTTACTAAATCTGGACCAAGACTGATTGGCTGGGCTTGAGTTTTATACTTTTCCTAGATAAGGTTGGTGGAGTTAGAGTCAACACCAGCCACATGGAATTAGCATAGAAAAATATTTTCTCATAAGAAAAATCAGGGTACTGTTATTAAAGTAAGGGATAGCAGAAGTGTGACAGACAGGAAGAACAGACATTTAAACATTTGATGACTCTCTTAATCTACTTTTCTTCATATTCCCTCAAATGAGGCATAATCATAATTGGATCCTGGCATCTTGTGTATAATTATATGTATAAGTTGCTTTAGGTCTTGTAAAAGCATCATTAGGTTTGATAGGGATGAGATCCATTGTTTAGAGGGTAGATGTCATTTCATTTTGTAAGTCTGACAAAACTGTAAAAAACAAAATACAAAAAAAACAAAAACAAAAACAAAACTGTGTTCTTAGTGTCTAAGTGTTATCCAGCCACGATTCCTTCTGGAATTAGAGAAGTGTGCTCACTAGCCATAAATAGAAATGTTAAATGAGGGAGTTGTCTGGGAGTCAGTATTCCCTCCTCAGTGCTCTGTGTCATCATATGTTTCTGAAGAACATGTCATCTGAGAACAATCTTAGTATGGGCCTGACAAGTCTCCCTTATGTTCTACAATTGGCCCCCATGTGGGTGATTATAATTATTATCCCCAGTTCTGAGTATATTTCAATATTTAATCCTCTAATTCTTAAGCTTTAGAAATGGCATTTAGCTTAATGGAAACATATTGCTTTACATAGTATACACAGTTGCCCAGAATTACCAACTGTCCACACAGATGGTGGATACATAATGGAAACACTGCTCACTTGGGGGTGGTCAGCAGGCTACCCATGTTGGGAGAGGCAGTCTTCCCTGTGCAGTTCAAGGAGCATTGTCCAGGTCCATCATAAGCATTTCCAGTGAAATAATGTTCTATTCATTGCTTTACCTATCATCTTAGAATTGAACAGAATGGAAAAAAAAAAAAAAAAAGAAAGAAAAGAAAAAAGGAAGGGAAAGAAGGAGGAAAGAAAAAAAAAGAAAAAAAAAGCTTTAAGCGAAGGTGCAAAATTTAAATAGTATAGGCCATATACACTAAATTTTAAATATATTATTAACTGCAATATCACTTCTAATCAAGTTACTCAGATGTGGATAGTTTGTGTTGGTACGTAACTCTTCTATCCAATACACTTCACCTATCTTGGCTCAATTTTATTTATCTTAATTTTTTTAAATTTTTATTTATTTTACTATTATTTTTTAATCTTCAGTCATTTAATTTCCACCCTCTGAGCTGTTCCACAGAGGCAAGTAGGGTGTGTGTGGATGGGGAACATTGACATCAGGGACTTCCTGAGTTCTCACGCGCTAAGGGCCATACTCAGACTGAACACAAAGCTGTCTACCAGATTAGAGAGATGAATGATATTGGAGAAATGTATCATTTCATCTGGAATGATTTGCAGGGAGGTCTTGCTGCCATATCATAGACCAAGCCTTGTCTTTTACCTCCAATTTGTCTTAAGGTGCTGTGAGTATCTACGTGGATGGCACCAGTGGTTTTGTGCTGAAAAGAAAGCTAGTATTTCCCAGATGTCACTAACAGTGAAAGAGCTAAAGGGATGGTTACATTGTTTATGGAAGTCACGAGGGGGGGGGTTGCTGTGGAAGGCAAATCATGAGCAGATTTGAAAAAAGAAATTCTCTTCTTCAAAGTGAAGTTTAATAAAAGAACGGATTTCTTCTCTCTGGAGACTGGCTTTTTTTTTTTTTTTAAACTTGCAAGGCTGATACTGGCATGTCTGCGATCTGGGGGGAATGGGGAGGGTGGAATACATTTTCTTAATGTGTGGGCTGATCTGGGAGTCAGGTTGAAGAACAATCCCATGGTTCTGCCTGTCTGGGCAGAATTGCAGTCCTACACAGCCGGTTCCTGAGGATGGGCTAGGTATCTGTCATGCTGGAGGAGACTTAGGAAGGGTTTATGTTTCTCATTAGGCTGAGGCTCTAGAACCATGTATCCAGTGGAGTAGGTGTGAGGATGGCTAGTCAGGCTCTGGAAAGCTGGAACTGGCTGAGGAGGGGAAATGCCACAGTTTGCCAGACTGAATGGAAGGGGTCCTCCCTTAGGACTCCAGGTACTGATCCATAAGCATAGGACCCATTCAAGCTGCAGTTGGTAGCAGAATAAGCAAAGGATACTTCCGGTTGGGGTTTTGTCCCCTGAGAAGAGGAACACCACTGATTTGGAGACATGTTGCTATCTTTCCTCAGGATCACATCTTCACTTGGCTCAAGGGATTCTTGGGAGGGAAGAGGAGAGAGGCAATCCCAACCAGACTCCACATTGAGCATGGAGACTGACATGGGGCTCGATCCCAGGACCCTGAGATTGTGACTTGAGCCAAAAATCAAGAGTTGGACACCCAGCCAACTGAGCTACCTAGCATCCGTAGATAATTTAACTTTTTTTGAAATTAATTTTGACATAGAAAAGGGCATGCCAAATTAGTATAGAATGTTCTCGTGTATCTTTGCCCCCAAACTCTCATATAATATCATACAGAGTGATAATACAATTATTGAAGCAGAAAATTAACATTAATATAATACTATTAAACAAACTATAGACCTTATTTAAATTCCATGGCTTTACACCAAAAGATGATAACCCTCAAAAAGATGGAAAATCTGGGGCTCCTGAGTGACTCAAGTGGGTTCAGTGTCCAACTCTTGATTTCAGTTCAGGTCATGATCTCAGGGTTGCTGCATCAGGTTTCGCGCTGGGCGGTGGAGCCTGCTTGAGAGTCTCTCTCTTCTTCTGCCCCACTTCGCCCCACTCACATGCACACACGCTCTCTCCCTCTGTCTCTGGAAAAAAAAAATGATGAAAACTCTAAGTGAATATTAAATCTCTAGAGATAATGAAGTGTTTCTGTGTACAAAGATGGTAGGACAAATCGGAAAGAGAGAAACAGACCATTTATGAGAAAAAATTAAGATTACATATGTCAAAATATCATAAATAGACACAAATAGAAGGAAACTAGGGTATTTTTTAACGTACAATCTGAACAACACTGCAGAGTTAGAACATCAGTATTCATCCCCTTGTTATAGGTTACGATTTTTTCAATATAAGAATAATATATATTAAATTCTTTTTAAAAACTCTAATCTCATGTTTTGTTGTATGATGAATATGAATATTTGCAAAAAAATACTTGAGTAGAATCAAGATAACTCCTCATTTGTGTAAATCATTTCATAGTACTAAAATTCTAAAAAATGAGCTTTTTAGAATTTCAAGTCTTTGCTAAAGAAGAAAAATTAGTCAAAGGTTTCTTTCAAACTGAGGCAGCTGTATCCCCTCTCTGCATGACAGGAAAATAAAATAGGAAATGATGTTCAAAAGGTGGGAATTGTAAGTGAAGAACTCTCGAATTTGATGTATTCATTCATTCGGTTATTCATTCATTCTGCATAAAGTGTGTTCAGTTTGCTCATAGTGCTCATCAGATCGACTGTCTTTAGAGTTATTATGCATGAGATGTACTTTACCACTACATGGTTTGCTCCTGCAGAGACAGTACAAAGTCTGAATCCTGTAGGTTTCACCAAGTTTTCTGTTCTCCTTTAGCCCGCCTGTCTAGAAGGACCTTCGTTACCAGGACAAAGACAGGAAAAGCTGAGCATAACAAGGCAGATACAATTGAATAGCTGTAAGGGCTTAGATTCAGATGGCTAAGAACACAGGGCTTCTGTGTCAGGAGTAACAAACACTCATCTATGAATCAAGGTCAATTACGGGGAATTCAATGGATTATCATCATCTGTCCAGACTCCAGCCCAGCAGAAAAGAAATGGCTTCTGATCATCAAGAAGACTTTTGAGTATAAGTCACAGGTCTCCAGAATGTCAGAGGACTCAAAAACTATAGTCTTTGAAGGGAATACAGAGCCTCCTGGGTCTGTGACTACATTGTACTAGGATCCAAGGCAACCAGCATCCTAATGAGTCATTGAACACTACGTCAAAAATCAATGATGTACTATATGTTGGCTAATTGAATATAATAATAATAAAACAACGCCTTCTCTTTAGAGGAGTGCTTTCAAAAACCAGCATCAATCGCAGATTAGAAACTAAAATTATTTTAGAACATAAAATACGCAGATCTAATAAAACAGCATTAAATGTAAAGCCAAATAAAGTTCCATCTTTTAGAATGAGTGTGTTAATGTGAAGGTATCAAAATGTTAATTGAATGAAACATTATTTTACATTGACAGATTTTGCTCACTTTGTACAAATCCATTACGTGTCCTCTCCTGAAGGGGACTTATCGGTGAACAAAACAGAGAAATGCGCCTGACGTATTTAAGAAATTGTTGAAGGTTTATAATTTCTTAGCAATATACTGTGTTTCTTCCACCAGAACAAAAGCTTGAAGAACAAACTCTTGTCAGGAAGCAAGCTGTGTGGCATCCATGCAGAGGAGGTGAGTACATTTTCTGGCTTCAGTGGAGTAGAGAGTACCAAAATATTAGTGCCAGATTGTTCTTCCTGAACCCAGAAGCCTGGAGACTTTGGCCATCACTAACATAAATGAAAGCACTGGAATAGGAAAATGAAAACAGATTTTAAACTTTTAGGTATTTGGGGGTGTCTTAAAATTGCATAACCAAAAAAAGAAATTAAGCCAGTTAAGTGTTGCTTCCCTAAAGTGATTTTATGGATTCCTTCCTTAACTGGATTATCAGGATTTTCTTAATAGACCTGGAGTTCCATGAAATTTTAATTTTTTGAACCATCTATGTGGTGTCTACAAAGTTTTGCAATGACAGTGAAATGTCAGAATGAGGATTCTGGGGTTGACCATAAACTTTAAGAAACAAATACAGTCATTGGTTCTACTTGCTAGGCAGGAAAATTGTTTCATGCTTTTCTTAGTGGGGAGTGGGGGAGTCATTCTGGCGAATCCAGATTTTACTAAAATCAATTTCCTATACTTCTGATCTCCCAATCCTTCTGTGCTTTATGATCCCCCATTTAATGCTATCGATTAATGTAGCTCACGTAATTCTTCGTGATAGTAAGTATTGTGATAGTGGAGAGAGTGTCATAGTAAGTGATTCTTTATACCCGGAGGAGAGGCGACCACAGTCACTATGTTAGCTGGATCCTCCCAACAAGCACACCGAAGATGAGGCTCTTTGTGCAAGGGGTTTATTAATGGAAAAACCTGTGAATGATAAAGAGCAGGCACGAGAGTCCTCATTCCACAATGTAGACCTGATATCTGTGAAGGAAGGGGGGAAGGAAATAGTATAGACAGAACAAGAACAGTGGCTCTCGCAACTTAAAAGTTAAAACCCTTTCCCACAGTAGTTACAAGAAAGGCACAGAGCTGGTGAAATATTGCTATCATCTCCTAATTGTGGAGGCACCTTCTGTTCCAAGAACCATCCCCTGCTATTATCACCTTCCAGCAGAAAGACCAGGGAAGATTATGTGGTGACTCACAAGCATTGCTTTTAATAAGTCCAGCTAGGAAGTAGTGACACATGTCTCATTGCATCCTTTTTGCCAGACATCGGTCACATGCCTCGCCACGCTGAATGGAGTCGGGAAAAGGTCATTAGGTTGGTGGTCATGCACCCATACAGATCTTGGGATTTTTTTAAGTAAACAAGCTGAGAAGAATCCCTGATGGACCTGTAGAAGTCTTTGCCATTCAACACTGAAGTTAGAGTCAAACGGGAAATATAATATCCTGTTTATAATGCCTTCGCTGTAATATTGTGCATGGAATGAATAGAAATTTTCAGTACATGGAAACTAAAGGTCGATGCGTCATAAATGAATAATCAAACTGAATAGCCTATTTATGAACCTGTGTGATCTTTCTATCATTATACTTTTCTATCCGAATAGACATAGACACTTACGTTGTTTGATTTGCTAGGTTTCTAGAAATATTATATGGGTAGTGTGCAGTTTCTAGATGTTACTTAGGAGAGGGTAAGCAAGTGGAACCAATTTTTGAATAAATACGATGTGGACTGAAGCTGTATTCTGAGGGGGGGTTGCCATGTTCCCAGAGTCCCCACAGCACTCAGGGGAGAGAGATGGCCCCCAGGCAGAGTTGCCTGTGCTGTTTAGAAACAAACAAACAAGTGAATAAATAAGCAATAACAACAATCTGGGTTGATCTATATTTTTTAGTCCCCTAGTTCATGAATGATTCATTTTTTTTAAATTCGTCTCAATTCCTTAAAAGATATATTATATCTACATTTTAATTTATGAATTCCTAGATGCTTCGTATATTAATACTGCATAATGTTGAAATCAGTTTATTCACTTGACCTATCTCTTTATTTATTTATGGAAAAAATTTAGAGTTTAACATCCTGGGCAATAATGGAGGCATATATATATATTTTTTTTTTTTCCTGTCACAAAAACACTTCCCAAGAATATGGTAATAAATGTAATTATTTGTTTTAACACCACTACTACCACCAAAACAAAATAATAATGTCCTCTGTCAGTTTAGGAGCTAAAAAGGAGCTGTCTTCTTTTTTTTTGTTTTTTGGTTTTTTTTTTAAAGATTTTTATTTGTTTATTTGACAGACAGATCATAAGCAGGCAGAGAGAGAGAGGAGGAAGCAGGCTCCCCACTGAGCAGAGACCCCGATGCGGGGCTCGATCCCAGGACCCTGGGATCATGACCTGAGCCGAAGGCAGAGGCTTTAACCCACTGAGCCATCCAGGTGCCCCAAGGAGCTGTCTTCTAAATCAATGACCCTAAACTATTCATAGATAAATAAATATCCAGATCTCATTGACACCTAATGGATTGCCAGTGTTTTCATTTGCCAAGGCAGAATATTGAAAACAATAGAGTCTAGTACAAATACCACTATGATCATCTTCACTATTATTTCATGAAGGAAATGCTACTTGCACGTGAACTGTAGAAATGAAAAACCTCAGGGACGAGCTAAAATGTTTTATCATGGGCACCTGGGTGGTTCAGTGGTTAAGCTTCTGCCTTCAGCTCAGGTCATGATCCCAGAGTCCTAGGATTGATCCCCACATCAGGCTCCCTGCTCAGTGGGGAGCCTGCTTCTTCCTCTCTCTCTGCCTGTGGCTGTCCCTGCATGTTCTCTCTCTCTCTCTCTCTCTCTCTCTCTCTGTGTCAAATAAATAAATAAATAAATAAAATCTTATAAAAATAAAATTAAATGAAAAATAAAATAATATGTTCTATCGTGGCCACCTTTTTTGTCTTTACCTTCTCCATCTTTTTATTATACTTACAATCATCATCATCATTATCACAAACTTAATTTTTACCATAGACACAAAACCTTCGTGACTCACAGGCACCAACATGTAAAATTACATTTAATATCATTAATTTTAAAAATTACTAAGACCTCAATATAGTAATAACTTAATGGTTTGAAGATTACCCCTCTGACAATTTTAAATTTTCCAAAATGATGCTCTAGGAAGCTAAAAGAAAACAAAATGTCAGTAGGGTTTTAGATCAATGTGCATTACAAAATGCACTCAACTCAAAATACATTTATTCTTAATTTGTATACTCTCATATGATCTTTAGATAGGATGTTGCTTTTCGCTCACTGTACATTAGAAGATGGCTGGAATATACAATGCAGAGAAGTGAAGAGTGACTGTGATTAAAATTTCTAAAAAAAAAAAAAATTCTAAATAACCTTAACTAAGCTCAGGAAATCTAACTGTGCTTGCTCACTTAGTGCAGAACAAAGATGTGTAGCCTTTTATTATAGTTCCCAAAGGAATCACTGCATAACACAAAAATTGATGTTTTGTTTTGTTTTGTTTTGTTTAAAGATTTTATTTATTTATTTGACAGAGAGAGATCACAAGCAGGCAGAGAGGCAGGCAGAGAGAGGAGGAAGCAGGCTCCCTGCTGAGCAGAAAGCCCGATACGGGGCTTGATCCCAGGACTCTGAGATCATGACCTGAGCCGAAGGCAGCGGCTTAACCCACCGAGCCACCCAGGTGCCCCCCAAAATTGATGTTTTAATAATTAATTCAAGTTATGAATAGAAGTTTCAATTATATTCTGTGCATTCAGCATAAATCTGCATTAAAATTAACACCCAAAATGGTTAAAATTAGTCCTTTCTGACACTTAAAAAATAGAGCATTAATTATTTGAAAGAGTAGAAATGAACTTGGGCAAATCAGGCACACCATATGTAGTGGTAAACTCTCATTCCCCATTGATATTAGTCAACATTCATTTGGAAAAATACGTAAATAAAGCTGTTTACCTAAGGGACTGTCCTGCCTATAAATGAGCCCTGGGCAACAGATTGAAACAGCAGGGAGACAATGCTAATCAACTGTGCATTTAAAGTTGGAGAAGATAACAGAAATGATTCTTTCCTGAAATCAATAGCACAAAATAAAGGATAGCCATGAAAACCAGCAAATGTCTTGGAGATGAAATTAATGGAACAAGAGAGAGATCTATGTCTGAAATATCATTATTCGGGGTTACTTGGGGAATTTTGTGCCAGGAGAACAGAGTTGTAATAAATGTAGAATCCTGAAATAGAAGTATAAATTCAGGAGGCTGGGTGTGTGTGTCGGTGGGGGGGGAGTTCAAGTGAGAGTTTTTATTCTCAAGAGCTCTAATATTAGGAACAGTTTTTACAGACATCCCTATCATGAGCCGACTGCATTCTGTGATCTATTGAATCAAGAAATTGATAAGAAAGCATAATCTTAATCTTAAAAAAGAAGTAATTGCAAATAAGCAATTTGAAAACTGAGGCATACATATACATAGGTATATTTAGCACCTAAAATTGGATTGTTGGACATGCTCTGGTGACTAAAATTGTGTGTGTGTGTGTGTGTGTGTGTGTGTGTGTTCTTTTTGTTTGTGGGGGTGGGGAATGGTGGGAGAGAAGCAATAAGCTATTTTCTTTAAATATTGCCTTTTAAACAGTATGATTCCTTTTGTGTTAGCTATACTCAAATTTAAAAATTAAAGGTTAAAAAGTAAAATTTCTACCAAAAAATTAACAATATGGCTCCTTTGCACAGGCTTCGGCTTTGTCCTGCTGCCTAGACCAACTGGATGTCCAGCTTCTAAAGCAGAGATTAAGCTTTTGCCTGACCGCAAAATTCCTTCTTATACAGTTTAAAATAATTTTAATATTCAAGTTTGAAAATGTAAATGAAACTGAGGCACTAATCTAGGTTTCTGTTCTTGCAGTCAAAAAAAATCCAAGCCCAGCTAAAGGAGCTTCGTTATGGGAAGAAAGATTTATTATTTAAGGTGAGCATCTTTTTCCCTTCCCCCACCACCCTCCCAGGTGCATAAACAATAGTATCATTTACCTTAAATTTCATTTCTGAATTTTTATAAGAATTACAGCTGTATTTGACTGCATTGAAGATGCTTTCATTTTCTTAACTTTTTAGTTAATGGAGACAAATGCAGATATGTTTTCCTGGGTACATTCTTAACCAAAGGCAGGTATCATTCCAAAGTGTTTAAAGTCCCCTTGTAACCTTCAGTGACTTTAATTCAACATTGAGGAGTGTGATCTTTCAGACTATTTACATTACAGCATAGATTGAGTGAATTTCCAGAGATGAGATCCACTGGTGATCCACATTCTTGACCTCCAGAGATCCCGCATAAATCTCTTTATTACTAAGAGTATAATTGTTGATTGATTTTAGTTATTGAGATTTTTCTTTACAAGACTATCAAGTCAAGATCTATGTAGAGGTAGACATTTACCACAAACTGTGGAATAACTATGGCCTCCCAAAGATATCCACTTGCTAATTCCTGGGACCTGTGAATCTTACACCTTATGGCAAAGGAGACTTTACAGACGTGATTAAGTTAAGGATCTTCAGATAGGAGGGTATTCCAAAATATCCAGGTGAAACCTAAATGTCATATACAAGTCCATATAAGAGTGAGACAGAAAGGCCTAAATAAGAAGATTATGTGATCACAGAAGCTGGAGGAGGAAAGACAATGTAACCTGCAGAAAGAACCAGCCCGACCAACCCCTTGATCTTAGTCCCGTAACATTTATTTCAGACTTCAGACTTTCAGAACTGTAAGAGAATCGAAGTGGGTTTTTTGTTTGTTTTTCAAACCACTTAGTTCATGGAAGTTTGCTATTAGCAGCAAGATAAAACTTTGATACTTTCTTTTATCTCCCTTGAGCAGGGGAGGCAAGAGGTAGGTGTCTTTAATTGTTGTGCTTATGGTCCATGTGCATTTCCAAATGCAGTAAAGTGATGGAATATTAGGCCCTTAGGAGTAGGAGTGATTATTTGCCTAATAAATAATAAATATGAATTACATTGTGTGTAATTTTTTTAAATGTTTTCTTTACAATGATCAGTTCAGTTTACAAGTGCAAGGTTTAAATTAAAGATGGATAATTCCTCATTTTATGTAATGGTTGGAAAACCCTGCAATTTTTCCAATGAAAACAATAAGAAATGACACATTTCTCTTCTTCAGCCCCTTTACTTTTGGCTCAGAGTCAGGGGAAGGTGTTCCTATTACATCGACCAGTATGTATTAAATATTCGTTCCATGTGATACATGAATCTAGACGTTATCTTGCCATTTACTCTTCCATAAATATGCTTCTTGCCATTTTGTTTACCTTATTTACAAGAAGATATTCTCCAGCACACCAAGAAAACTGTGAATTATTTCTTGTTAATGCTGACAGACCCCTGCCTCTCAACACTCTGTTCATTGTATGTGATAAGTAGATAAAAGTGCAAAACCCAAGGCATTTGTCTGTCTACCTTCAATCTTTCATACTTAGACTCGAGCTCAGGGTATCTTAACTTTTATATTCAGGTTGGCCTTAGCTCTATGCAGTCATCAACCATAAATCACTGAGATTGGAAAAGAAGGGCCATGCCTGTCTGTGTGTGTGTGTGTATTTTCATTTGTAGAGAAATTTCTAGTTCTTTATGAATTAGTTTACTTTAATAATACCAAGAATGTAATAAAACAAATCAGAGCTCCCTAGAGCTGGTAAGTTTTAGGTCGTAGGCTGAGAAATTTATATGAAGATAGATCATATGAGCCTTTTAAAATCTTTTGAATTTCATTTCCCAAATTGAAGAGTTAGTGAAGGAAAATTTGGGAGAAGAGAACGAGGAGATCTAATAATTTTCAGTGATTTGCTTCTTCGTAATATGCCAGTTGTTGAATATACATTAGTAATTTATCAACTTTCAGGAATTACCCAAATCAGGATTTGCTGAAACTGTTTATGACTTGAAAATGAGACATTATTTGTAAACCTTGTTATTTCATGCCACTTTGAAAGGAGCATTTATATATGAAATCAGGTGAATTGTGTACGAGTAGGCCATGAAGGTGCATAAATTAGGATGCCTTTAGCATATGCACTTCCCAAAAAGCTATTTAACAGCAAGATTTTTATTAAATAAGGTAAGAAGTTGTCTATAAACATGGCAATTTTTTAGCCTATTCAGTAGCTAAACAATGTCAAAAGACCAAGTTTTTTGATTTTCCTACCTTTCCATATCATGATCCTCAACTTATTAAGTTTTGGTTCCCCATTGTACATGATAGGGGTTAAAGATTTGTAGGCTGTCTTTATCTAACTTCGTACAAAATCAGAGAAGAAAAGGAAAGGTCACTTGTGTTTCAGTGTCGTAATTTTTGTAAAGGAGGAGAATTTTTTAAGGTGTTCCCCCAACTTGGTCATGTATCCGTGCAAAAGAGGTGAGGCCTTAGTATTTTACGGCTTCCATTGTGAAAATGCTTTCTGCTATGATGTAATTATTCATTCATCTTGATGGTATTCCTCATCTGATTTGCCTATGACTCTCTCAACAGCGTACATGTTTAGATTTTATGAAAACATATATTGAATGAATAATGAATACATATACATGGGTAGGTACACATGCATACGTGTGTACACAAATAGATAGGTCCTAGCGGTGCGTGGTAGAAACTCATGTACTTTGCCCCAAAGGGCATGTGACTACGGAAATTCACTCATGCACCTTTAAAAATGAACCCTCAGAATGTCTTTGGTAATATTTTGCTGAACTCTGAGATGAGTACTAGAGGATTCTCTTTCAAGTAGTTTCCCTGAAAGGGTGTTCAATTTTGAATAGATTTGATAGTTTGTAGTAAAGATAGACTTTGAAGGAGGAAGGTGTGCTGCTGAAGCACTTCAGTTATTTTTTAAAAATAATGGTATATGATGACAATTGTCAGACATGTTGATAAATTCAGTATCCTTATTAATGTTGGAGATCTGGCTTTTGATTGGGAAGACTGCCAGCAGTAGTAAACATTCTCTACTAAAGGAAGAAGTGAGGCCCTGCTGTTAGTTACCCAAGACTCGTGTTACTTTTTATCCTCCCTGATTCCATTTGGAGAGGATATCCACTCTCTATTTTGTGGCTCTATTTTACTTTTATAGATGCTTGTTTAATTCCAGAAGTATTATAAAATATAAAAATATATAATATAAATATAAATATAAAATATTTTATATTATAATTATAATATATTATAAATATAAAAATATAAAAATAAAAATATTTTTTAAAAACTTAAAAAAAATCCAGGGTACCTGGGTGTCTCAGTTGGTTAAGTGTCTGACTCTTGATTTTGGCTCAGATCATGACCTTAGGTCTTGGGGCTGAGCCCCTCATGGGGCTTGGTGCTCAGTCAGTCCACTTGTCCCTCTCCCTCTACTCCTCCCCCTCCCACCCTCGATCACTCTTTCTCTCTCTCAGATAAATAAATAAAATCTTAAAAAGAAAAAAACTAAAAATCCACTTAAAATCCCATCACTCGAAACACACACTGTTTTGAAATATAATTTTGTATTTCGGTTTAGTTCCTTTTATACTAGGCATAATCTGCCTTTTGATCGCTATATATGTTAATGTAGATGATATATTCTGCATTTTCACATAATTTTAAGACGTAAAGCATCCTATAATAATTTCTTTGTAAAAATCTAAGTAATTTTTCATATGTATATGCCAAAGTGTCTCAAATTTAACCATATAAATATTTGTGTAGCTGTCTATTTGGATATGTGTGTGTTGTGATTTTAACTTATACTGTGATGAAAAATGTGTTATTTCCAACTTAAGATATAATTTTTATTGAACATATATATATATAAAGCTATAAAGTAATTCACTGAAATTATTGAGAAATTGTGATGTTATTGATACCTAGGACACATTTTTGAGTTTAGGTTTTTTTTTTTTTTTTTTTTTTTTTTACTTTATGGACAAATGCAATCATGCAATCATATATATTTAAAGTGGTTTTCAGAGCAGCAGCAGCACGGTCCTAGCACTGACAGGCTAGAACCATGACCTGTGACCCAGGGGCAGGGCTTTCCGTGCCCTGGGTCAATGACAGGTGCGAGCCAGGACCTGTAGCTTGGAGGGCAGGGCTTAGAGCAGTGGCAGCTTCAGTTACCTTTATGGTAAAGCACTAAGGCACCCCAGTCCCAGAAAGAGAGGTGTGGAGGCCCTAGGGGTAGGTCTCATTGCTACAATAGCTCCAGCCCTGGGGAGGAGATGCAGCAGCAGGAACTCTGAAAGGCTCCGTCAGCTGGGATCAGCATTAGAGAAAATTGTGCAAATCCTTGGTAGCAAAGGCCCTGCAAACTTCCACAGTGGTGAGGCTAGCTGGGGTTCTTCTGTTCTCCCTTTTCCTGTGGAGTGGAATTTCTCTGTGGCGATTCCTCCTGGCACTGAGCTACACTGGACTGGGGGATGGACTGACATAAATAACATTTTTTCTGTGGTTTGCTATGTGACCATCCTCAGCTTTTTTTATTTCCACAGTGTTTTGGCTGCTGCTTCATTGTAATTCACAGCTTTCCCTGAGCTATTTTCATCTGTTTGTAGTTGTTTATTTATTGTTTTTGTGGGAGAGAAAGTGTTGGGACCCCCATTTTGCTGATCTCATTCTTTTCATGGCTGTGTGATATTCCATTGCCTGTATATATGTGTGTGTCTGTGTCTGTGTGGGTGTATGTGTATGTGTGTGTATGCATCTTGGCTATTGTAACTTTTGAAGATCACAAGTGTTGGCTAATAAAAGTTGCTAAGATTTTAGCTGTTCACTTAGATTTACAAACCGAAGTTCACATTATGATTTTTCACCACAGAAGGAGACAAGATGGCCTTTCATTTTACTTCACAATAATAGGAAACAGGTTGAGAATCACTATGCCTTCTGTCTACTGAAATATTTTGTACCGTACCCAGTGT